AAAGGGAATAAAAGCCCATCGTGGAGGACAAGTGAAGCTATTGGTTGCAGGCTTGCCGGCCGCACGCAGCCACGACTACCCACACAGTCACATATTTCTAGATGCTAACCTCTTCGTTTCCAAACCGCATCTGTAATCGCAACTAAAACCTGCAAGTGTTGGCTCCTGATCAGATCTCTCTATCGCGCCTCCATCGAGAAGGGGCGAAGGGAAGAGGATGCCGTGACAGGCAGACGCCCATCCACGGGCACGTTGCCGCCTTGCCGGCAGACCGGACGCAGTGGTGAGCTGCAAGTCTAGGGCCGTGGAGGAAAAAAGTGGCACTGAATCGACAAGGTTGCAACCAAAACCGATGGCCGCCGGCGATGTGACGCTGCGCGCCTACGCCCCGTGACTCCGCGATGATGGAATGATGCAAGGATATTGTTTGGTTAGTATACTTCGCTGATGTATATTGTACAATCTTTGATCTGGATATTACTGCTATATTTTTTTTAGAAGATATATTACAAAGTTTCCGCGTTTAGATACGTTTAGATGGAATATAATCAGCTTATCTGCATAGACTTGTTTTATCATCACTAGGCCTTATGCATTGATGACATACTTTTGACTAAATGAATTGTAAATTGTGTATGTATAGTCATGAATAGGATATAATTTATCCATTCTACAGCGGAACTGGTTTTACAACCTGAATCTGGCTCTATCATCGTAAGTTTCTATCGCAATCAATCTAAAGCTAGTGAAAAAATAGCATCGATTCTAGTCCATCAAATGAGCACATTTGATCTAGGTGACGTTAAAGCAAATGAGCAAACCATTGAAGATGCAAGGCTAAGGCTTAGGATTGCCATATGGCATGTCTATTTTTTCACTTGTTGTCTTTCGCCCCCCCCCCCCTATGTCTAAATCCTGGCTCCGTCCCTGCCCACACGCCTCAATCACCACTCATTTTGTCACGTATGAACAGATGACATCAGCAGAAATCTTTTTGGTTTTTGACTTAAAAGTGTTTTATCTCCTAATTAAAAAAGCGAATTAAAAATCAATTTTCACCATTAAATCCGTCTCAACGAGATCTTCAAAACTAGACCCACATTGATATGTTTTGACAAAAAAAATTGTGCCCAAAAGTTGCCATGGTGTTTACACTGTAGTTGCCATGGTGCTAAACTAAAGTTGCCATGTGGCAATTTTAGTTTGTAGATCATGGCAATTTTAGTTTTTGATGATGGCAAATCCAGTACTTTGACCATGAAAATATTTTTTTGCATGAACCATGGCAATTTTAAGTGTATGTATCATGGCAATTTTAGTTCTTAATTCTTCATTTTATAATATGTCAAAATTTACTTTTTAATATAGAAGAAAATAGCTGAAACATAACATGGCAACTTTAGTGTAAACATCATGGCAATTCATGTGCAATAGACATGGCAACTTTTAACCAAAATTTTTTTTCGTCAAAATATATTGATATGAGATCTAGTTTTGAGGATCTCGTCGCGAGGGATTTAGTGGTGAAAACGAACCTTCAATCGAATTTTCATTTAAGAGATAAAACATTTTAAAAACTGAAAATCCAAAAATATTTCCACATGCATGCATGCGGTGACATGGCGTAGTCTGTATGTTATAGGGCATGTGGACGGGTTTGGCTCCCACCACACGTGTGGGCGTTAGCGTTGTCCTAAAAAATAGGTCGCAACTCCCCAAGCATGAAAAGAAAAAACCAACATATGAAACAACATAGACAAACGACGAAAAACACATATGCCACACATATTCAATCCATACAACATCAAAGTCTGGAATCCCCATCAAAGGCGTTAATATGTTCATCGCATTGTGCAACAAGTTTGGGGCAGGCACACCACTATGTGCATTAACAGCGTCATGAGGCCTTATTTTGCAAATGATATGGGCCTCCGGCAAGGTGATCCATCTCCCCCTTATGTTTAACTATAAGTTGGATGCTGAGATGGCCGACGTCACTATCATTTTGATTAAGAATGATCTTCATATTGCTAACCTCGGGGGTAAAGTTGTATTAATCAGTGCTTGCCCTCCGAGCTTTTGCACATGTTCACTATGGGCTTTTATCTCTCCTAGAGGGCAATCATGTGGGGTTTGACAAGCACTTCCAATAGGAATTCTGATGATAAGAGAAAGAAGTATAGGTTGCTTAAGTAGAAGCACATGTGCAAGCCCAAAAATCCTTGGGAACTAGTCATCATCAACACTTCCATCAGGAATAAAATACCTCAATGCTAACTCTAGAGGGGGCTCATGATTTTTGCAAAGCAATTGTTAAGGTTAGAGATGAATTTAGATCCCACATCATGCAATGGTGTTGCCACTCGGTTCCAACTAGACTGGTGGCATCGGGATGCCCCCCTTAATATGCTCTACCCTGGCCTTATGCGAATCCAGAGATTACCATTCATGGGCTTTGTCAAAATAACTGGGACCTTACTTTCCACTGCTCGCTTTCAC